ATGATCTCCAGGAGAATCACTAAGATTATATGTATTTTATTCTTTATGTATTTTATTTATTTATATTGGGAAAACATATATTTAAAGGCTATATTTTTCCTTTAATTATTTTCAAAGTTGTCTGCTCCACTCTCCATTAATAAAGTTTTTCTTTAATAATGATAAACTATTAAAGATCAACATGTTTCTTTACTTAAACCATTACAGGAGATTATCATCGATATATATTCAGAGTATTATTAATTGATACATATTACCCTATTTATTTTACTGATGTATTTAATTAATTAGTTATTAAAATATTACAAAATAAAATTTGATATATTGTTTAATTATTTTTGTTATATACTGTATATATAAATTATATATTATTTACAGTATTGACAAAATTATACTCTATTGGTAATTGTTACATTCTTTTTATTATATTATTTACTATGAAATGTGATAAATAATATAATAAAAAGAATATGGTAATTACCAATGGAGCATAATTTTGCCAACACTGATTATTTAATATTTAAATTTAGATTGAATAATTTAAATAAAAAAATTAATAATTTTTTAAAATTTAATTTAATTATACATTATAATATTATATAAATAAAACATATAAAAAATAAATTTAAAAAAATTAATATTAATAAGAAAATTTTATGTTTTTTATTATATAATATAATATAACAATTATATTAAATTAACAAAATAATATTTATTTAAAAATTTTTGTATTAAATTACATACTATATAATTAAATTTTTAGAAAAGAATTTTATAATTTTAAATTAAATACAAATTTTAATTATTTATTATATATTTACAAAATTTTTAATAATATAATTTTTTTAAAAAATTAAAATTGATATTAAGATAACATTAATAAATAACAAAAAATTAAATGTGTTGCATATATGTGATAATTCATTTGTATGCATTTATCGTAAATTCAAATATCGAATTGTTATTAGATTAGTGTTAAAATCATATTGTTGAAAATTATAATAAACATGATTTTTGAAAATAAAATAAAAAATTATTAAAAACAATAATAACACAGTAATACTTTATAATTTTGTATAATTTAAAAATATTTAAAAATAGTTTTAAAAGACTTTTGGTGTAATTAAAGTTATAAATTGATCGATTATTATTAATAGCGCTAAATAAATAAATTAAATATAATAAATTAAATTAAAAAGAATAATTGTTTTTATAGAATATGTATTTTATATTTCCCATTTTTTTAATAGCACTAAAACAGATTTTAAAAGTTATTCCAAGTCATCTTCGTGGCAAGTTGGATAATTCCAATTAACTAAATTTGTTCACATCCATTTTTTGTTTTATCTCTCTTGAGAATAAATCATGATTTAAAATGATAACTTGTTAAGCATTATTAAATAAATAATATATATAATTAAATCATCTAATTTATCGAAGTGTTGGAATATGAGTTCGAAATAAATAAGTAAATAAATAAATGGTTGGAAAAATTTTTTTTTTTTTTTTTTTGGTCTGTTAATAACGACATTAACTTTATTATTGTCGGAAGTGTATATTACGTAATTTCACGTGACAAGGACCATGCATGATCAACATGATGCACATCAATAAAAAAACCAGTAATTTCAACTATTCAACACTCTCCACTTCCTTAGTTTGTGGAATAGACATTTACACTATTACCTGTGATGCCATACTGGACCTGACATTTTAAAAGAATCGGATAGATTATAAATAATCGAAAATCTTAACAAAGTATGCGTGATTTACAGAATGGAATTGATTATTTCGAATAGGAAGGATATGATAAAGATTCAGATTTCACTGACAATTACATTTTCTTCATTTCGCAGAGATTATTTGTTTGGTTTAACTTTCAGCTTATCAGGCATGCCACAGCAGACTGTAGTGAGGTAGGTTTGGCATACGGTTGAACCCTAAAAATTGTCATAATAACTTTTTATGCCAATTTATTTTAAGCATGGAGTTAGACGAAGTGGAACATCATCCCGAGGATTTCGACCAATTCGTGGCAATCCTTAATTTTCTTTCGGAATCGGTCATCCACTCTCCCGATGCGTTAATGCAGGATATTTCTTTCGAAATATTTGTAAATATTTGTTATCACCTGCCACCTCAAGATTTATTGATGTTGGCATGTGTATGCAAAAACTTCAATAACATGCTCAATGGAAATTTATTTCCAATCTGTTCTGAAATTTGGAAAACATCCCGTGAACGATTCACCGTATTCAAAGATATGGATCCTCCACGTGGAATGTCTCAGAAACAATTTGTCCGTTTGCTCAATTTCGAGCGAGGATGCGAATTTTGCAAGAATAAGTCGAACATACAAATTTATTGGTCGGCTAATGTGAGGTCATGTAAATCATGCGTGCTTGAAAAGTCCAAAACGTAATGAGAATCATTATTCTAATCTTTGTCGTCACATGTGTCATCCTTTTTATCTCACCACTGAGCTTTTTTAAGTCACCAGGAATTAGTGACCGAATGTCAGATCGATCAAAGGGTCATAAATACAATCCCTCACCTTATACCTTGTCCAGATGATAATGGCAGAACTCATTATTACTGGTTTCCCTGTGTCCTTGCTGCTCAGTCCGAACTCGGCAAGAACTCGGAGATGGCGAAAGACTACAAGAAACCAGAGCTTAAAAGATTAACCGATGAAAACATCAAGCGTTATCGTTGGATAACCCAATGTTGGTCGGAACAAGTGGAAGAACAAAAATCGATTGTTAAGGAGTTTATTCGGAACATGGGTCTCAATGATTTCAAAGATCCTATTATCGAACAAATGTTTGAGGACGTCAACGCAAACCCATTCATTAAACCGGATTTCGATGCATATGCCGAAGCACTAAGAAATTTAAAACCAGTAAATTCATCGAAATCCTCGAAGATTACTGTCAAGAGGTACTGGTGAACATCTCGATTATTTGTATCCGTTTTCAATAAACTTGCAGTGAACATTCACATCTAACTTTATCTTTTCTTCCTACAGGGAAAAGAGGGACGATGAGGTTAATGCGAAAACTTTGACACCTACTCCACCGAAAGGATCCAAAAAAAGATCATCTCAAGAGAAGAGGGCAAGATCACGGAATTATGGCTTACCGTCAGAAAATTCTACTGCATCCAATTCATCTACATCAGACGTTTATATAAAAACTGAGGAAGAACCTATCGATTGGCATAACAACACATTTTTACCAAAAGAAAGTCGTTCTATTCATAAACATCAAAATGAAATTAATTTAAAAAAACGAAATCAATTGATATTTATTTACAGTATTCACTAAATTGATATTTCTAATTAACTGCGGTTTCACGTATACAGCAACGGTAGCTAAGCATAAATAAATACTAAACCGCGCTTGCACCTTGAGCCTTGCGTTCAATCATACTGTACAGTGGCGGTCTTTGCACAACCATGATATGTACAGAGGACCTTTAATTTCTATATTTTGCATGGTAAAGCTTAACCGAATAAAATAAACTTACGAGCAAATGTGCGAAATAAACCAGTTTGTACTAACTACAGTGTGTGTAAAGAGATATATTATTTGTCCTTGATAATTAAACTAAGAGCAATTGTCACAATCGTTAATTAATTATACTCACATTTTGTGAGCACGTAACCACCCAAACTTCATTTTAGTAAATTATTATTTAATCTATCTCATATTATTCATTTTTCCTACTTTGTTGGCGCATCGGGTACATGTAGCTCAGGTAGAAACGCAAAATGAAGATAATTTATCACCGAGTTTTCATCCACATATGCATATTCTTCGACTTTCAAAGATTTGTGAACGTCCGCCACATGCTTTTCTATTCGCTTCAACACCTGCGGTTTAACTGTACAATCGTTTCGACACATGCGGCACCTAAATATCGGATAATTATAAATGTTCCGCGAAATTGCTCCTTGTATATCAAGAATGTGTGGTGGTCGTGTTTTGCAGGTAACTTTCAATATTGCGGCTTCCTGTTGAAGTTTTTGAATGAGCCTGTACAGATATGACCTCTCATATCCATTCTTGTTGTTGAACATTGGTGGGTTGACAAATAATTTGCATAAGGATAAAAATTGGAATAGATTATCTCGGATGTTGATGGTGAATGGTACCAAACTTTTGTGCTTACTGAGCGGCGGTGGATTATCGGTGGTCGCAACTAATTTAAGTCCTTTGACTATATCGTCTCTTCTCCAAAGAACCTCACGGGAGACATTTTTTTCACCGTTCAATGGACCTCGAGGAGGTGGAAGGAGAGGAAGAGGAGAAGGAACGACCGCGAATGGAATATCAGGTCGATAGACTAGTAAAATCAAAAGGTCAATGATTGGTTGGAAAAAACAGAATGTGATAGAAGAACACAATTATCTTACTCAAAGATTGCTGGAAATTCATTTGCATTCCTGGGTATTCGACCGCGGCCGACATATCACCTCTTGAGTGCGATGCTATTAACGGATCAACCATCGAGGACCCATAGTTAAAATTCTTTGAATGATTCTTTTTTTTGCTTTCATCTCTCAGAGGAAGTATCATTCCCTTATTCCCAGCATCAAAAAGTGTGGAAAATATGGCGGCGAACGATGACTTATTCCCGTCACTATTTTCTACCGGGGTAGGCAATGGTTCGCTCTTCACGACGCCACCCAGAAAATTGGTGGATAATGTTCCGTTTCTCGCGAATTCATCTACTGCGCTAAACAAAAGTTTATTCTTATTGCCATTTTCAACGGGTACTTCGGTTATTCCATTCTGAGCTCTATCTAAAGGAGAAAGCGATGCCATCTTTTTTTTTCCGGAATCCGATGAAGCGGATGAACGTCTGTTTCCAACTGCAAGAGAAGATGATGATCCGCTTTCCTTTGATAAAAATGTGTTATTATGCCAATCGATAGGTTCTTCCTCGGTTTTTATATAAACGTCTGATGTAGATGAATTGGATGTAGTAGAATTTTCTATTGATGGCAAGCTATAATTCCGTGATCTTGCCCTCTTCTCTTTTTTTTTGGATACTTTCGGTGGAGTAGGAGTCAAAGTTTTCGCATTAACTTCATCGTCCCTCATTTCCCTGTAGGAAGAAAAGATCAAGTTAGAAGTGAGTGTTAACTGCAAGTTCATTGAAAATGGATAAATAATCGAGATGTCACCAGTACCTCTTGACAGTAATCCGTGAGGATTTCGATGAATTTACTGGTTTTAAATTTCTTAGTGCTTCGGCATATGCATCGAAATCCGGTTTAATGAACGGATTTGCGTTGACGTCCTCAAACATTTGTTCGATAATAGGATCTCGGAAATCATTGAGACCCATGTTCCGAATGAACTCCTTAACAATCGATTTTTGTTCTTCCACCTGTTCCGACCAACATTGGGTTATCCAACGATAACGCTTGATGTTTTCATCGGTTAATCGTTTAAGTTCTGGCTTCTTGTAGTCTGAGTTCTTGCCGAGCTCGGACTGAGCAGCAAGGACACAGGGAAACCAGTAATAATGGGTTCTGCCATTATCATCTGGACAAGGTATAAGGTGAGGGATTGCATTTATGACCCTTTGATCGATCTGACATTCGGTCACTAATTCCTGGTGACTTAAAAAAAGTTCAGCGGTGAGATAAAATGTATTGACATACGTGACGACAAAGATCAGAATAATGATTCTCATTACGTTTTGGACTTTTCAAGCACGCATGATTTACAAGACCTCACATTAGCCGACCAATAAATTTGTATATGTGACTTATTCTTGCAAAATTCGCATCCTCGCTCGAAATTGAGCAAACGAACAAATTGTTTCTGAGACATTCCACGCGGAGGATCCATGTCTTTGAATACGGTGAATCTTTCACGGGATGTTTTCCAAATTTCAGAACAGATTGGAAATAAATTTCCATTAAGCATGTTATTAAAGTTTTTGCATACACATGCCAACATCAATAAATCTTGAGGTGGCAGGTGATAACAAATATTTACAAATATTTCAAAAGAAATATCCTGCATTATCGCATCGGGAGAGTAGTTGACCGGTTCCGACAGAAAATTCAGGATTGCCACGAATTGGTCGAAATCCTCGGGATGATGTTCTACTTCGTCTAACTCCATGCTTAAAATAAATTGGCATAAAAAATTATTTCGACAATTTTTAGGGTTCAACCGTATGCCAAACCTACCTTACTACTGTTTGCTGTGGCATGCTTGATAAGATGAAAATTAAATCAATCAATCAATCTCTGCGAAATAAAGAAAATGTAATTGTCAGTGAAACTTGAATCTTTATGATATCCTATTCGCAATAATCGATTCCGTTCCGTAAGTTACGCATACTTGTTAAGCTTTTCGATAATTATAATCTATTAAAATGTCAGGTCCAATGTAGCATCACAGGTAATAGTGAAAAGTTTATTCCACAAACTAAACCTGTCAGTGGAAGTGGAAAGTGTTGAATAGTTGGAATTACTGGCTTTTTATTGATGTGCACCATGTTGATCATACATGGAAATTTGTCACGTGAAATTACGTCATGCACACTTCCGACAATAATAAAGTTAATTAACAAAAAAAAATTTTTTTCTAACCATTATTTACTTATTTATTTCGAGCGCATACAGTATTCCAACACTTCAATACATTAAATTGATGACTATCATTTATTATTGTGTGATTAACGTTTACTCGAAAATTTTTTAACTTCAAAAATCATTTTTTCAATATTTCTTATTTACGTAAATTTTTCAAAAAATTATCATTTTTAATTATGATTTATTCCCAAGAGAGGTGAACCAAAAAAATAGATATGAAAAAATTAAGATAATTAGGATTATCTAACTTGTCACGAAGATGATTTGAAATAACAATAATTAAAATTAAAAACAATACGCATTTAATAAAAGGAATTATTTTTTTATTTTTATTTTATTTTATTTATTTATTGGTATTATTAGAATCGATCGATTTATAACTTTTAATTATTATCTTTTATAAAAAAATTCGTAATGCATAAAATCAGAATAAATAATTTTTTTAAAAAAAAAATCTAATGTATATTTAAACAAAAAAAACAATTATATAAAACAAAAGATTTTTTTTAAAAAAATTATTTTTTAAATTATTATTGAGTAATTATTTTTTTAAAAAAATATTTTTATTATAAATTATTTTATTTTCACAAACTATAATTATTATGGTTTTCAAAAAAAAAAACTCTTCCACAACACTCCAATTCGTAAAAAATTTCCTTTTTGGGTAATATGCCAAGAACCGTGAATTGATAACAGTTCAAGAACTACAGGATAAAAGTATTAATAAATAGTTCAAGAACTGCAAGATGCAAGAGTTCCGATTAACTTCTTAAGAAGAAGAGGTAGAAGTTTAGGAGTAAGCTGAAACCTTTTTGGACAAACTTTTGCTTTACCAAAATGAAACTTAGTAAGCTTCCACTAAGGTTTTTTTTTATATGCCCCAAACATATTGTCTAAAAACTATCTCAAAACATAAATATTCCTTTTTTTAAAACTATATATTCATCAAGAGACAGTATTTTATTTTTTCAGTTTTTTTTTTAAAAAAAAATTTGTTAGCAAAAACTAATAACTAGTTAGAGGATGTTAAGAAT